GTGTTGTCAGACACTCGAGCACACACAGACACGCCGTGTTCTACACGAGCGCGTGGCTGATCCGATCTGCAGCCTGCTGCGCTCTCAGGGCTTTGTTTACTTAACGCAAAATCAATACCTTTATTTCCAGGACAATGATTCCAACATTCTCATGGAATAGCTGCCTAATTTGAAAGTCAAGTCCAGATGTTCATTGCAAAAGAATCTAATAACAGCCCACAAAAGAAGAAGTGTGCCTATCACGCAAACATGTTGGAATAGCCTGTGGAAACAAGTTAGCTGACGGCTATAGATTTGTCAGGCTGACAATTCATGCACATCTGTGTCTGCCAATACAGAATTTACTCAAAATTGCCTCTCTAGACACTTCTTTACATAACACATATTTAGCTTATTAGTGCTGTCATTTGGGAGCGTGGTCAGCTTTTGAGCAAAATCTCACTGAGTCCATTAGCACGGATCACATCGCAGCTGCCATTTTAGAAGCACGATGATTAGGTTTGAAGTTCAAATGATTTGATTTCACTTTAAGGCTTCAAAAGCAGCCTCTGGGGTAGATTTACACAATTAATTTTTACTGAGGTCTGCTGGGTAATTTACTGTAGTCAGAGGATCTTCAGTGAGGTAAGGTAATTACCACTGGGTAATTTTATGGCACTCCGTTCAGTACGAAGCAAAATGTTGGCTGGTTTCTGCTCAGATAAGACCTGTAAGGAAGAGAAGATGCCACTTTTGGGAATCACAACATGTCTGTGACACTGAGGAGGGACAAGAAGAATTCACTGACTTCCCAGATACAGACCAGAAGCTGTACATGCCCTCAAAATGTCTTTTCAGGAGCGTAAGGACTTAGACAATCTCTTAAACATTGTACTGAGAAGCTTTCAAAATTGAAGCACTGTACCCATGATTCTTCAATACAGGAACAAAGAATGCATTCTTTGTTTAGTCTGAGCACAGAAGTAAACAATGAAATTAAACATCCCTTTGAGATTTGTATTTATCACTTACAAGAAGCATTTCCTAATAATCAGTGGCAGCTAGGCTGACAAGCAAACTTCAGAGCAAAGCCGGGGGGGATACAAGTCTATTTTAGGTTTGCTATTGACAGTAAGGGTCAGAGGAAAAATAAACTCAGCAAGCAGTGTCATGCTACCACAAACCTCTGCTGGCCAAGCAGAAACTAAATTACAGCCAAACCTTTCAGCACAGCAGAAAGACTTGGGCAATTGGGCTGCCCTGCAGTGCACAGAGCACAACATACAGATGAACAGGATTAAGCACAAGTGAGACATGACATAAATTGCAGAGAAATAAATCAAAAGATTGGAGGAGCTAATTATCCTGTAGTCTGGAGTGGGGGTATGTTATGCTTTCCCCTATTATTTTAATATTTCCAGTTTGAAAAATTAATCTGTGAAGCCCTGCAAAAAAACAAGGATTGGCCACAGACTCATTCAAAATAATAATATAGGTAATCTCAACTACCAAACTGAACTATAAGAACGAAAGAAAAGAGCAGCAGAAGGATTTAGGCACAATTTTTATCAAATACACATAAATATGAATAATAGAAAATAAAAATACTTTGAGTGCAAAAGTTTAGTCCTCAGCTTCATTACATACACTGTAGCACTACTGGGAAAGCTTATTTGATTTCTCTATCTCAATAATAAAACATAAGATTTGTGTAAGGGGAAGAAGAGGGAATAAACATATTCTATATATGATGGCTTTCATTTTGTTAGGTTTACTTCCTACTAAAGTTGATGATAAAAGCAGCTGTGTAGACTCATAAGCACTTCTATCTATATCTCTCCATGGACTAATTACAAATATCTGTTTCATACAGCCCCAGCATCTAAGACAGATTTAATTTTATTCTACCTTTCACTAGGCATATATCAAAACCTGTCATTTCATTCCATTATTTTGCTTTCCTTTTTCTCTACCTATCATCCACTGGATGCAAACACAACCCTGTAATTCCTACTGTTCTCTTTTACTTTTCTTTGCTTTTTGGTTTGTTTGTTTGTTTCGATGGAGCCACAAATGTTTTGTCCATTGTCAGGGGCCAGTTGCTTGAAACAAAGAAGGCTTTTCAACTTTCAAACTACAATTATAGAGGACAGAAATATTCTTATTGCCCTTTTCTTCTAACTAGTGATGATACCCTGATAATTCATGAGGAGCATACAAGTACCACAGAGAAAACTTTCCAGATTTTAAGAAGGTGTTTAAAACTGAAATGCAGTCCTAGTGAGTGATGCCTCATCTTTGTACATTCATTCTTTGCCAAACTGATGCTCACCTGTTCTGTTCTTTTTGACCATTTTAAGAGACTTGCTTACCATTCTCTCACAGTTGTCTGCTAATTTTATAGATCTCTGGGACATTAAGAGCATGTGGCAAGGCCACACCAACTTGGTTGTGATTTTGGAGCACATAGGTTGTCAGATTAACAAATTCTCCTGACCTTGAGGTCCCATAACCCATCAATTTTACCAGCACTATTTTTGCCCTGCTGCAAGGTGGTATTGAGGATATATGTTGGATCAGCTTCTACAGGGTCCAATGAGCGTGATTCCTTTCAATACAAACTGGATGTCTTTTATATGTTTGAAATCTTATGGACTGATGGAAAAAAAGCAGATTCTGGTGACTGCATTAATATCCACAACAATGGTAACACAAGGACAATAAAATCAAGGAGCCCAGTTCCAGCCTAATATACTCCATTTGGAGTATTTGGGATTGCTCCAGTGAATTATTTCATTCCTCTTTTTCCTTTAAGGCTCTCTGATGAACCACATCATCAGTTCCTTGAATCTTCTCTTTTTATGAAGTTGCCTTTCAAAATTTGACCAGCACTAAGACTTCTGAGTATGCTGACCATGGAAATGTAGGTGGCAAGGACAAGGACAACAACAGACAGCTCTTAGCCTTTTTGTCACCAATAATAGAATACTTCTTTCTACATAGCTTTAAATGGTACTTCCACTCTCTGCCCTAAACTTCAGCTTCTTTTGGCACATTTATCACTTCTCTTTCCATGTATAACGACTCTATACCAGTGCTGGAGAGTATTAAATTGATTGGTGGAAAATTAATGGAGCAAGCAGGAATGATAGAGAACAATTACTTGTGCATTATGGCTTTTGATAAGCTGGCAGTCTGAGGGGGCACTAACATAAAGAACAGCAGTAATGGAAATGCCCAGTGCAGTCTGACCTTGTCAGAGAACTTCAGTGAGGCCAGAGAAGAGGGAGAAGGCTCTTGTTCAAAACTTGGAGACCCAAGCATACAGGAAGATGCACCTCACTGCTATTTAGCAAGGTAGTGCCTTGCTGCAAGGGTGCAGATTGGGAAGAAACAACAAATATTCAGGAACTTTTATATACAAGAGGCCACAAAAAGGCTCATTTGCCTTATGATGCTCATGCAAACCAGAGCCCTGCCTTTACTTCCAATCACATTACTTTACATTGCAGCCATTCTAAACCTTTTTTAGCTGTCCAATTTCTGTATCTACTGTTCCATTCAATGTGGTTCATCTCCTGTGGTGCCAACATCTTGAGCAAGGCACTGAAGAAAGAGCAAATAATTTGGAAGTGAAGGCATGGGCAAGTTCAGTGACTGATGGCTGTGCAATTTAGAATTCAAGGAAAGAAGGTTGTTAAGGATTCATGTCTCCAGAACAGATGCATTTGAATATATCAGGAGAGGTGTTGAATAGCCATTTGGTGAAGAAAGGCCCTGATCTCCCTCAGTTTAATGATGGCTAGAATGTTTCAGAAAACATTTTTAGCACATATGCTAATCCACATTCTCTTAATTTTCAGACTTTTTTGCAGATGGCATTTTTAGCAAAGTTGTCATCTTCCATGCACAGAGTGCTTTCGCCATTCCTGCATTTTACATGTGCTGCAAGTCTTAGATGCTTATAGAAATATCCCTGTTTAGAAACAAGTTACATATGGCAGCAGTCCTTGACATGGTTCCTCAGGAACTGGTTGCAGTCACTGAATGCTTGCCTGCTTCAGGAACAGCCTTTTCTGGTTTATAACAGGTCAATTGCACCTGTAATCTCCAGAAAGAGATTCGTGAAAAGCCTTTTCCCTTCCCCTGGTCTGACATTTTGCAGATGCCTGTGGTTGCTAGCCAGGCAATGAGATGTACAAGTGTTCTCCAGAAAAACAAACAGCTGGACCCTGAAAAATGGTGGATATAATACAAGTGAATATGAAAATGTCAGCTGATGGTGAAGAGGTGCTCTCTTGTGTGTTTCACATTTTATAAGTGACAAAACCCCACTGACTCACAAGACAACCTGACTTCAGAGTAGGGCACACAGATAGAAAACCAGATTCATTCAACTTTGAAACAATGCACCATGGAAAACATCAGAAATGCTATTTGAAAGAAAAAAAAATAGCCAATATATAAAGATGCAATACAACTGAAGTTTGGATTAGCTTGACTAACAACTTGTGTAGGCCAGGCCTAAAAATAAATCCTAAAGAGCTTTTCTTCCTGAGTTTGTACTATTAACAAACTATTAACTGATTGTCATTAGCAGCATTCAGCATTATTGAGGCATTCTTCTACAAACTTTGCTTATTTATACCCTTGTTTCAAGTTCCTAAAAACTTTCAAGGAAAAACAGTGAATTAGGATGCTCTTGATGTCTAATAATGCATTTACATTGCTTCAATGATAATCAAAAAAAGACAAATGCATTTTGTCTCCACTATTTCTCAAAGAAAACCAATAACTCAGTCCCACAGTGCTCTCAATGGTAAAGCTTTCATTGAGATTTTTTGAGTCACTCCTGTAAAAATAAAATAAAAACCACACCCAACCAGCCAAATACAAACCACAGGAGCTGGCTAAAAGAAAGGTGATATCTATCTGCACAATACCAGAGACTTTTGCTCCCACAGACACTCTGAAACAAAACAAAACTATAAAAGCAAGCATGTATAATGTGTATTACTTACAGTGTATTTCTAGAACCTGCATTGCTATCTGAGGTGTAGAGTTTAGGGACTCATGATCTACTCTGCAACTTACAACTGCACCATCATCACTGCGATCTGCTAGGAAATCCAGCGTGCTGCTGACTGTGAATGTTTTACGAGTTGCATCTTCTTCTTTTAAATACTTAACATCTGAAAGAGAGAATAAACAGTTAGCTATCTTCCCAATATTTTTGGAAAAAAGCAGTCCAGCATTAGACAGCTGAATTTTCTATCACAGTTGGTGTAAAAAACACGTATTTCATATCTGGTCTCTTTAATATAAAAGTAATTAGACTGTAGTTAATCCTCAATTTCTTCATTTCAAATTAGGAGATACATATTGAAAGAGAAAATTTTAAATTTGGTTCTATGGTACTGCATTCAAACAGAAATTCCATTCATTATTACCTCTTGCATGTTTAGGTCTATATTTGATATAAACTTTTTCTGTAGGTCATCAGAAAATAACTGTGATTTTGTCCCACCCTCATTACCTTACGTATTCACAGTGAATATTTAGTGAAAGATTAGATTTCCCAAGTTCATTCTTACAGCCTCTCACAGTAATGCAATATGTGGATATTACTGAAGCCATGTGCACACAGTCAGATTAATCCTGTGCTTACTTTACTCACTGCTTATTCTGTTGTTTGGTTAGAATTATGCTAATTTGCTAATAAAACTAAACCCAGGTATCAGTGGTAACAAACAACTGTAAATAGAGCACATCGCAGCATTTACTGACATATATAGAGAAGTCCCAAGAAAACCAGAAATAAGATTATTGCATAGAACTTCCACTCACTGTTTTATATCATTTTAAATTGACCTGATACTTCTGTGCAGATCCAGTTATAAATATGAGAGTTTTCAGCACAGACATTGCAGTGGAGGGAGCTTTCAGCTACCCTTAAGAAGCATCAGCACAAGGTTAAGATTCACATTCAGAACATTTTGTTGTAAGAAATACATGCCAGATCATAAATGAAGATCCAAAAGACTGTATTTGTTTTAAAATACTTGAATGTATTAATTGGAACATAAGATCTTCTTACACATACTTTAGAACTGTTTTACTTGGTTCCCAACTACTTGTGATACTTATTGATTTTAGTTTATTTCAGAAAAATGGTAAGCTTGTTATATTGATTTATTGCAATGAAAGCTTGAAAAGGCATCTATAAATACTTAAACATATATATTAAATTACACTGAGATTTCATATGTCCTCTGTGCCCTAAAAAAAGTGAGAGGTTTCAGTTTTACAAATTATACTAAATCCCATTAGAGAACAGAATGACCTAAATAAAATTTCCATGAAATATCAATTTTAGAAAGCAAATCTTCAATGGCTTAAGCTACATCTTTTCAGATTAAAAATACCTCTGACATCAGAGAGGTGGTCTTTATCATTGTCTCCAGACAGACAAGGACACCATGTAGTTACACAGTTTCCATTTTTCCCTAAAAGAAGTTTATTTCTTGCATACAAGATTTTTTCTGCCTGTTTGCTGCTAAGCTTTAAAAGATTTCAATTTCTGCCATGGTCACTATTAATATTTAGGGATTAGTAGGTGAGAGAAATATTGACCAGAGCTAAAGCAAAGTTATTATAATCAAACAACAAATGGCTTCACTAATATTTAAAGCAAACACATGTGATTCTGTTCCCAGAGTTAGGTTTCCAAATTTAATAATAAGCATCCATAGAGGTAACATTCTGCTTATAAGTAATGTGCACATCCCTTTGCTTGCTGACTTCAGGTGGGGGACAGAAGACTCCTGAAAACATCAACAACTTTAATTTTATCGACAGGTTGTGGATTCTTAATCCTTTAGAAAAACAAAAGCAGTTAATTTCCTAAATTGATGTTTAGAAGTCTCTCTCTAGGTATCTATTGTGTGAAAGAGTTCAACTCCTAGAATTAACTTCCCCTGCAGAAAGGGCAGTGATAATATTCTGTTGGCAGCCTCACCAACAGAAATTTTTACCTTGTCCTCCTTATCGGCTGCATTTTCTCAGATGTTTCTTCATGGCAAAATGAAGGTGTGATTGAAATATCTGCTAATTGAGTGCAAACCCCACTGGATGTAAGAATGGTGGAGATCAGACACTGGGTACACACCATCACTCAAGATATTTTACAGAATTTTTAAATATGTCAGCTGTAGCCTAGTTTCCTTTATCTTCTTGCTGCTCCTCTCTCTCCTAAATATTCCCCTGAAGAAAAGGTTGAAAATAAATCCTTTACACAAGCATTTTGTGTGGGAAGCACTGTAATGGAAAAGGCTGGAGGGATACAGCTTCATAGAGGAGGACCTAGGGGTTGCAGGACATGTTGAACATTCAACAGCGTGCCCTTGCAGGGCTGAAAGCTAAAACCCACTGCCTTGTGTTAGTAAAAGCACAGCCAGAAAGTCAAGGGGAGTGATCCTCCTCTCTCTGGCACGTGCACAGCTGCACTGAGCATGCCTGGCCCAGTTTTGGGCTTTCTGGAGAGAAAATGTACCATAAACCTGTTGGAAAACACAGTGATCCATGGAGCCGTACAAGGACATCTTAAGAAAGTTTATAATACCTAGCTAGAGGAAGAGAAGACTGAAACCAGATCAAACTGTTGTCTTAAAGTACATAAATTATGGTCAGAGAGGGAAAAAAAAAGCCCCTCAGAGGTGTACAGCAAAATCGATGGGCAAAAGTATAAATTACACCAAGAAAAATTCAGATTATGTATCATGAAGTATCTACAAATAATGAAAACAATCCACAAAGAAGGCTTTAGAATGCTGAAAAATCTAGCCCAGACAGAAATGTTTCCATGGAATCTCTGTCCTGGGAGACTTTTCAAAGCTGAATTGGATAAGACCTTTAGCCACTTGATTTAACCTTGGAATAGGGGCCAAATGAAACCTGGGGATCAGCTTTGGGCCCACTTCCATGACTTTCAGAGAGGTGCACATACAGACATGCCTGTATCAACTAAAACAGGTTTATATCTCATAAGTATAGATGTTTGATAGGGAAAATAGGAAATGGAAATGATGGAATGTCCATCATCCATTGCTAATTGCAAGCTATTTATAAAAGTACATACCTGGAACACAAATAAATACTCATCCTTTAAAAAGACATTTTTTTTCTGGTTTTACATGGCAGATATAATTTTTATTTACATTTAAACTCAAGTTGTGACACAAAATGGCCCTATTATCTAAAAAAAAACCTTCATCCTTGCTTTAGAGGTTTATCAAGATAAAATGATCAGTGCCTCTCTAAAACTTAATCAAAGCACCTTAACTTGTTGACATAAAAATTGAACTTATTTAGTTTTAAAATCCAACCTACCTAGGAAAGGAAAAAAAACCCAAAAATCCATTCAAAATATTCCTGAAGCCTAAAAAGAAATTCTTTATATAATTTTGTTGAAAGAGCATGTAACAAATTTTGTTAAAAAAGAAAAAAATAGGTAATTTCAGAATGAAAAATTTGCATTTAGTTTCTCCAGTATTTTTGTTCTTAATAATCTTCCAGAAATGTCACCAGAATGCTAAACTGCAGATCCCTTTGTTGAGTTGGTGCAAATCTGAGTGACAGAACACTAAAGTAAAAGGTGTGGCACCCAGTGCTTCACATTCAGTCTCTCCCATTACTAACACTTACTTTATCAAACACTATTCCTTACCCAGATGATGATTCCTTTTTTGAATAATAGCAATGGAGCTACAATTTTAGAGTGGCTTTTTCCCCTTTGGTGCGACTCTGATCTCAGTGCATCATTTATATTCGTTTGCACCATGTATAATACAGTATAACACAATTGGATTTACTGGTGCTAGACAGACGAACTTCTAACCTTTAATGTCAGCTGCATTAGCATATAATTTCATATCTATTTTCTCAGATTTATCATTTCACCTTTTACACTGCACAAAGCTAATGTAACTTCTGCTGATGCCACTGCAGACTGGTTAGGTTATTTTATTTCTAACCTTTGAGAAATGGCAATGTGCTCTTCAGAAGACCTAGAAAACTAAACTGAAATGAATGTGCTCAGTACTTTCCTCCTATTTCTGGTTGTTGGGGTATTTTTCCCCCTTTACTGTTCTTTTTCATACTCCTCTCACACTCCTTTGTTTCCCCACCCTGTTTTGCTGTTTGTGTTTTTTTTTAAATCCCTTTGGGAACACTTGAGAAGAAGAAATTAGTTAAAGTCAAATGACCAAATTGCTTGCTGGCTTCAATTACACATCAGCTGAAGGAAAGGCAAAGGTAATTGCATCAGATTTTAAAGCGTAATTTTTAAACTAAGATATTTTCAAATATGTGTTGCCTTGCTGTTAGGCCAACTGTACCAGTATCTCCCTTATAGTACTGACAGGGTTTGGAGTTATTTCCAGTCTTTACATGCCTTGGGTATGTATATTCATCCTGCCATCCCTTTTGGAGGACACAGTCTATGCTCTGCCATGTGTGTTAGCTGTGCTGCTTAATTCTTTTTACTTACATGTGATTAGATGCTGCATTTCTTTAATCAATTTCCTCAAATTTCCCAGTTCTGAAAAGAATTCGTTTCTGTTTCCACATTTTCTATCCTTGCTACACATTTCAAATTATTTCAGTCTAAAATGCTCGCTCATTTCCATACTATTCTCATTTTCATTAGAAATATAAGGACACCTCTGGAATGGACAGGATTCCTTAGGCAATCATCTGCAATCTCCTTTATTTACCAGTTTTATACCACAGCACTGCTTTTGCACATTGAACTATGGTAGAAAACAGTAAAGGAAGATAAATGGTTCGGTAATTAACTCTGTAACTTTGCTTGAGGCAGTTTCTTGAGCTAATGAAATCCAAAATATGAGACAAATCAGATAAATTAAGGGTGTTTTATTTATTTCTTTTTTTGTTTTTTAAAGCCACATAGAAAAGGTGGATTTTGAATCATTTATTCATGTGGCCTTACAGCAGAATGAATAGAGGTGACATGAATAAATACCAATACCTTATGCTTTTTATCCATCTACTTTATAATGGGCACCTGCACTGGCTTGGAGGTGTGACAGCCTTCTGCATCAGGAAGCTCTCTTCACTCATTCACCAATGGGGAGTTAAAACCATTCCAGCATTTTTAAGAATATGGAGCAAAAAACTAAGTTCTAAGCAAAGTGAAAGATAAGATGGAAAGGAAATAAACAGCTTTTTATATGCAGCTCTTTCCTAGCTCGCTGCATCCTTGAAGGCAAATCCTTGCTGTCAGCTTTGGTTTCAGTCACTCCATGGCTTTTCAGTTACAGCAGACTTTTTCCAACTCCCCTCAGCCCCTGTGAAGTTTTCCTCTTGAAAACTTCATGAAGCCCATCCTCTCCCCCCTGCTCGCTCCAGACTGTCAGCATCCTTGCCTCAGCTGGAGATTCCCTCATTTGCTACATCCTGACTCTTCCTCACCAGAGCAGGCTCCATAGATCTCCTCTGGGAAGTGCCTTCTCCTGTCTCCTCCAGATGGTTCTGCTTCAACTGGTCACATTTTTTAGGGGAGTATAACCTAAATCTGGGACTCAACTAAATCATACATACCCCATGTTGGAATGGCACAAGAGAAATTGAAAATATCAGGGATGAATGGTCTGACTGTGATAATAATCCAGAAAACATTGCCCTATGAAGCCTCACAGCTGAGTTTATTGTGCTGCACAGAGTTCTGAGCAATCCACAACATCAGTTTTTAACATTTGAAGTAACAATAAAAAGATGGTTATATGACCACTACATTAAATTACAATAAATTCTTCATCTATCCCCTAGTCATTTCATGACCCAATAGGAACAGCTTTACAAACACAGATTAAAAAAAAATAATAATTCTACAGAATGTATAGTTTTGACAATTGGACCAAATGACACCAAAATCCTTTTAAATACCTTTAACTTCTTTGTCATTCTTGAACCATCTGATATCAGCTGCTGGCTTACTACCAGATGTCTTGCAAGTGAGCTGCATCCTCTCTCCCTCCATAACTGGTGAGGTAAATCCAGTAATTTGTGGCTTCTCAGGAACACCTAACAAGCAAACAAGCAAAATGTGTCTGATAGTGTCAGCTGCTGCCATGAATGCACGACCAACTTAAAGTTCACTTCTTCATATGCTCTGAATTCTGGAAAAAGGATAATTAATTCCTCGTGCCTCGTCAGTTAAACCTTTCTCCTATTGTAAATTAACCATCAATCTGAACGGTAGTTGATTCTAAATAAATAAAGAAACACCTAATTTTCCAAGAGAAACAGATTGCAGTTTAATAAATACCTTATCTCTGTGTATTTTGCATGCAGGTCTAGTCTGACTTGTCACAATATTTAAACTGCTCAGCACAGCAAGCAGGATGACAAAGCGCATTAGAAGCACAGCTGTGAAAATTAAACTGGCAACAAAAAGCTGAACTGACCTAAGTTCAGAACAGATATTTACACCTAATTAATGAAGACTTTAATACAAAATCCAGGGAAAAGGAAGGGTGAAAATAAATGCTGGAGTCACTTTATCTTCAGAGGAAGCAAAACCAAAACACCAAGAGGTATAATCACAGTTCCCTGACATACCACACATATAATATTCAATTTGGAAATGGTTGTTTTTCAATGAACCATGGAAGATTTAAAAAAAAATATAATTTTAAAATAATTGAAATAAATAATAAATAATAAATAATTAAATAATAACAAGAAAATAATAATCAATTTTTTAAAAAACATGAAAAAATTGCGAAAGTTTTGATCACTGCGTGCACAAATGCGTTTAACTTATGAAGACATGAGAATAACTTATTTTAAAGTAATACTGATGACAGTAATTTAAAAATCTCAAAAAATGTCAGTTATAATTTGCAGCTACAGTGCTCTGGTGCATTCACATTTGTGGCAAGATAAAGGGCTCAGTCACAGTAATTGATCCTGTGCCCTGTATTAATAATTCAGTTTTTCTACATCTCTTTTCCAAAATGACAGATTATGTACATAAATGCAAAGCAGCATCACCTGTTGCGTAGTACAGCTCTTTAATAAATCTACTTTTCTCTCTCAGGACAGAAAATGGTGTCTATTACAATACCTTAACACTTGAATTTTCTAATCAAAAGCAGAGAAGCCAATAAAGAGATTATTAGTACATAAAATGATAGTTTATCTGATGGAAAGGTGTAATACATTTCAGCATAGAAGATCTCCTTCTCCAGCAGAAAATGTTTTAAGAGTTTAAAATGTTACTTTGAAATAGGAAATTACATATGCAAAATGAAAAAAAAAAAAAAAGACAAGAATCTTAAACTGTGCAGTTTTCTCTCTGGGAAGGTAAGTAAATTATGTTGGGAAAACTTTATGAAAAGCTTCCCTAAAACAAAGGTAAAGCTTAAAGGACCATTAAAGATCAAGTTACTTTTGTTAATAAACATTGGCTGGATGTTTGGGGGTTTTCTTGTCTTTGTAACACCCTTCTATGTCTTTCTGCCATTTAAAAGGTTGAGCTGGTGCCCTCCTCAATTGTTTAGATCATGAAATGCCTCTCCACAGAAAGAAGATTAAGCACAGGCAGTTGCTATTCCAGAATATTCTGCTTTGAGTGGGTACTTTTTGTCCTTAATGGCAAACTTGTGAAGATTTTTGTAAAATAGTCTCACAGGGACTGAAAGAGAGATGTATTTCATATCCTAAGCAGAAAACCAATTCCCTGGCTGGATTAATGTGAATATTACTGCCACAGAGAATATCTTACATTAGTCCTATTAAATTCAACTGTCTGCCCATCCACATATAAAAATAAAACAGAAAGAAAGAGTCATGTTCAGGGACAAAACAAAAGGAAAAGAGAATAAAAATCAATCTCTAAAATCATATAATGTCTTAGGTTCGCAGGTGTGTTTCAATGAACTATAGCAATTTTGGCTGATTGGGCTACTGACATTCATAGAATCATATAAAGCTTCGAGCAGAAACTTTATTTCCTGGGCATCTCTTGAAATCTATTGCTTTTCTATGTGTATCTATAACCTTTGGGGAAAACAGCAGAGCACTTAGAGGATAAAGCATAAAAGAAGCAGCAAACCCAGTGAAAATTTAAAACCTTATAGACCCAAAAAAAAAAAAAAAAAAAAAGAAAGCAGAATGAGCCAAAAAAAAAAAATGCACAGCTAAGGAAAAATGATAAAGCTCTAAAGCCCGTTTTGATTTCATGCTTTCTGATTTTCTCCCCTTTGCCCTACCCAATAGATTGTCAGGAGATGAACACATGCACCTTCTTTGCTCTGGAGGTGCTCGGGATGTAGAGGTTATGTCCATTTTATGGAGCACTCGTTCCGTGGTCCTTGTGTGCTCCCTAACTCATTCTCCTGCCACGGTGCAAACAGGAAGAGGAATGCTATTTCTCAGCACAGCAATATGAAACAATAAACATGAGGGGAAACTAGATAAGACATTTACATTTATCTTCTGCCAAACCTTAGAAAAGTTCATTCTTATCATAATTTGCCAGAGCCTGAGGAGTTTAACACGCTCTTCTTTCTGCTCGGTTTGTGCTTTGTGCTGTTTGTGCTTACCAAGAACGGTGAGGAAAGCCTTGGAAGTTTTGACAGGCATGGTGAATAAAGAGCAGGTGTACTGCCCCTCGTCCGACAGGGACACATCGCTGACGCTGATACTCAGCTCGTGCCACGACGCTCGCACCAGCTCGATTCTGTTGTCCCTCAGAGCTGAAAAACAAAAGGAATCCACGTTAGGGTTGGATCCAGCACCTGAACAAAGCGTGGGGAGTGGTACAGGAGGCTCCATGGAGGTTCCAGGAGAAGCCAGAACACAGGGCTGTGGACACGGCTGTCCACGCAGAGCAGTTTGTTATCTCTGTGGAATAAAGCTGAGCAAGTTTTTGAGAGGTGTATTGAGTGATTTGTAAAATACATAAACCGAGAAACTACAGGACTTGACTTACCTCCGGCCTTCCTCTAAAAATCCCAACAATGACTTTGATTTCTGCCCCTTCAGAGATTTTTTTCAGTGCCTAAAATAAATCCTTCCCAAAACCAGCCTGTTTTTCAAGTATTTACAGATGTTGAGAATCCCGCATCTAGCCCTGCACAGTTTGCCTACAGATTTTTCTCGTGTCCATTACTACTAATATTGAACTGGAATATCAGGTTTCTTAAATTCTCTAAATAATTATTTCTTGTTACTAATAGACTGAAAGTTACACTTTTTCATGCCTATGTAGTACATGTAACAATTTGAGGTAATTTAGTATGTGGCTTTCCTTTTTTGATTATGAATAAAAATATAATCTCTTCTGTTTGCATGAAAGCAATGAGGGAGAAGGAGCATGTAGATTCACTTAAATTCAAAATGTCACTTTAGTTAATGATTTAAAATTTAATTTTATAACCTATACTTAGATTAACACCCATTTTCTATTGGAAAACTGAAAAAAACTTTTGCAAACATTCTATTTTTCTGCAGTAAAGTTGCTTCAGGAATCTGCATATATTATCCAAGTCTTTCCACAGCATAGAAATAACAATATCGTAAGTGAGAAAACACTGCAATTCTCCTAAGCAAACAATAAAGAAGTCTCTAAAACTCAGGAAGTTTAGCTGTATACCTCTAGATTGAAATGTCTGGCCTGGTAGTGTGTGAAACTTCAGTGAGCCTATTTTTCCAGCAAGCCTCTGAAAATCAAAAGTAAAATGGGACTGTGATATTTATCGATACAATTACACTTGCTTTGTGAGAAGAACGAAGGTGTTCAAGTCCCTAATGCTCTCTCTCACCTCTTTCTAAAGTCTCCAAAGACTCTTAGATTTGTCTAGTACATCTCTTACAATGATAAAAATGAATAAAAAGTTTTACTGTGGTTCTTTTGCTGCTAAACCTAGATGTTTCTGCCCCATTGCTGTCCAAGTCGATCCAGGTAGATTTACAACAAAATAAGAAGACACAGTGAAGATTCAGCAAAAAAAAAGGTCACTTGAATTTATCTTCTTCTAAGGCTGCCATTTAGGCTTGTTCTCACCAGAAAATTTCAGCTGAATTTGCTGATTATTTCAGGGTAGGCCCAGCTAAATCTCAGCTGCTTCTGCGGGGTCTGAGGACCGAAAGGTGGAGCTTAAGCAGGCCTAACACACAGGCATGCCAGGGACTTCTTCAAGGCACATCAAAGGGACTGAGGCTGTGTGCAATGTCAGAACTGAGATGCCTGGCCAGCCACAACAAGGAGAAAACCACAATTCTTCAGTTTGTAATATCAAATCCATATAATGATGAAAATAGGAGGTAAACAAGCAAGCGAACCAGATGCCACCAAATGCAAAGCTGACAGAACAGCTGAGAAAAACAAGCTCAGGAAAACAAAAAAGCAAGAGTCTACCAACCCCTAAGAGCAGCAAAGCTGATCACTGTGGCTTTGGCAGCCAAAACTCCTCAAAACAGTGAAGCTGTTTTGATCAAGTAGATGGGGACTCAGAATTCCTTTCTCACCTTGTCAATTCTAGTCAGATGCAAGTGAGCAGACATAAAAATGATAGTTTATTTCATATTACTGACCTTCCAGAAAAAAGGTTTAAAAAATTGTTCAAGTCCTTCTAAATGGTTTGATCACCACCACACCGACATATATAATTTGGCAACAGCAAAGAAAAATAGAAAACCAATGCAAACAAACCAACCAAAACCAAAAAGCCTTTCAGCACTCCATAATTTGGAAGTGGTGATATTTTCCTCCACTTAATCTGAAACTATTTAAAGAATAATGCACCATATCATCTTACATAGTATTTGTTATAATTTTCAGTTATAACTGCCTTGTGACAGATTTATGAATCTATTGAAATGTTTTCCTACAGATGGGACAATGTGCAGGATTTCTTGCCCTAAGAAGAACAGAATTCCACTGCAGCACAACTGGCCTACAGATGATGCCAACAGCACATCATTTTGATCCTACAATTGAAATACAAACCATTTCCATCAACTACATTCCTATTGCTCCCCTCCCTCAACCTCCTCCTCTCCACACCTTTTCTAACCTTTGTAAAATATAAAAACCTCAGCTCAGTCACTTTTGTGGAAAGCTGGTAAAAACAACCACTGGTCAAGAGATGAGATCAGATGTTCCATGTTTTGCTACAGAAAGGATTTTTATTGAAAAAACTGCAAGAAAGTTTTGTAATGGAAATACCAACACAGCCTTTGCAATAAATGCTGCAAATAGCACCAACATGATACTCCTTTGCAGGAAAGCTGTTTGTCAGAAGCATTTTTCTAAGTGCTGGGTCTAAAAACAATTAACTCTTCCATCATTTTCAAACCTGATTATTTGCAAGTTTTCTGTCTACAGATGACAGGCAAACCAAATTTCACTGCTATGGCTTAGACAAGGTGAGCACTTACACAGAGACCTTTTAGAATCTTATTTTCAAATTGTATTCCCATAACTGTTTCTATATCCTCATCTGTTTACAAATGTACCAGATTCTCTTCATGAAATTGATAGCTGTGATGGATGCCAGAACTGGTTTGTTTCCATTTTCTGTCTGAGGTGCAATTTTGCTTAAAAGGGTGATGGAAACAACAGCAACAGTGGAGGAACCAGGGGTAATTCCAGCAACTCCTGGTACCCAGGCATTGTGTGTGAGTGGAGCAGGGTCCTGCTCATGGCAGAAAACCTTGCCAAACCTGCCTGATGGAGCAAAGCAGCCCACGGAGCCTGGACAGAAGGCAGCTCCTGAAAGGTACCAGTGGCTAGCAGCCCCACCATAGCAGTTCAAATGAAGTTCCACAGAGTAAAACAGAAAATGTTCCATCACATTTAATTAGCAGTTGAACACAAAAAAAGCAGAACACTGCTCTTTCGGAACCTTCTTAGAAACTCTTTGTCTTGAACATTTCACTTTGTTAGAAGCCAAACAGACACTTCTGGCCTCTTCCTGGGGATTTTAACCTACATTGCTGAATCATTACCCTATCCATAGCTTGCATACCTATAGAGATGCTAGAGAAAGGGTGAAAACCCAGAATATTTATTTGACTTCTGTGAAATACGCATATGCCAAAAGCAGAAACAGAAAATACCAGCAGTGGCATCACTTTGCTGGATTCTCATGTTGCCAGCCATTTGAAAAATATAAAATGCAACAAGAAATATAATTACATAGTAAATTCCAATATGCCCTAGGTACATTATTTCAGTTTTCTGTAATTCCCAGGCATATATGATGTAGTTAATTTGCAAGGCATGAAATAATTATGCATAAAACACTTGTTCCTAAGCAGACACACTTCATTTATTTTACCTGTCATTCTCTTTTCCTGTGGAAAAGATTTCCTTTCAGAATGTTCTCTGACACAGAAACAAGCAACCTTGATAATTTGTAGAGTTGAGGTAATTATAAGTAAGAGATACAGCTACGTACTTCAGCTGCATTAATTAATAATCCTTGAGACTGATGACCATCACAATAAACTGGTCTCCTTGTTCACAATCAAACAAAACTGTACTTTATTTTTTGAAAAAAAATACTAACATAATGATTATATATTATCATACAGAAATCCTGCAACAGGAATTGTAACAGAGAGACAAAAGAACCTTTTAAATTTGCCAGAATGGAAAAAAATCCACATTTCATACTGTGAAGAATAGGCAGTTGGACCTGTTAGACATAGTAGCCACATAGCAGCATCTCTAATGTCATTTTCATCTAAAATGACCGCATCTTTGTTGAATTTTGAGTCATATATTTGAAGAATGAGAGAAAAAAAAACCCCAACAAAATCCCCAAATTCTCTAGAGTGATTTGCTGATATTTTGAGAATACTAACTTGACATATGCTGCCATCCTGGGATTCACTCAACAAAATTTTTTTCCTTATGTTGGAGCTCTTCCTTCTGTCATGGGAATAACATAACCAGTAGTTGGAACCAGAAGGATTTCTGATACTCTACAGGTCACACTAAACTCCCAGAATCATAATACTTATGAAACTGAAACAATCCCTCTGATTTTCAGATTCCAACTTTCTGAATGCAGTACCATAATCTGAAATAGATGTAAAGGGATTTATGTTGTGTTTCTGGATATACTTGAGAAGACCCTTTTTCTTTGCTCCTAATAAATTCAATAGACCAAGGTCCCCATAGGATGATCTACAGAATTTGCTTATAGTTGTGCATCAATCGCCACCAGCAGAGCAAGAAAAAAGAGAAATAATGGGACTAAATGGAACAAACCAAACTAGTATTGCTATTCTGTGTCTTCTAAACATTCATATTTCTTTTCAAAACGTTCACATTTCCTTGAAAAGGAGAAGGACTGCTACACAGTTATTCTATTCATGCCTAACCCATCTAGTCCATACTTGCATGGTATCTGAATTCCTAAGATTTTAAAACTTCTCAGCTGTTTTTCATGTAGAAAGAAAATCCATTTCCTTCCTCTTTCATTTCCAGTCATGCAAGTTGATTACTTTCATTCAAGTACACAAGGGTGGCAGTGTGAATATTTAGTAATCCCATGTTTTCTATTTCTACTTTTATATGTGCTGAGGCCGTTTTTACCTCTCAGTGAAGGCAATTCTTACCTGTCCACAGCACTGCATTTGTGGAACTACCACCTTTTCCCCTGGGACAGAATTCCTCAAACTGAGCCTACTTTCATAGGTAATGCTAATATAGATGGAAAAGAATTAGGAATTTCAATGCAAC